AAAGATATGAATCTGGAGCAACATACAGAAAATACAATTAAATGCTGGTGAATGCAGAGTAAAGCATAGCTAAGGGACAACTGTTTTCTTAAAATATTACAAAATAGCCCTGAATGTATACAGGAAGAGTCAAAGTTGCTCACTCTGAGTTGTCATTCAGCAACAGGAGACAACTATCTCCCTTAGAACCAAAATGATGGGGTGGTACTTTTCCCTGATAACTTTTGAAAAGGCTTATAGAGATGGTTACAGAGCTGGATCCACAAAGGTATTAAAAGATGCCCATCAAGGCAACTCCTACTGATTTTGATGGAAATTAAATATAAATAAATACCTTTGAGGATCTGAGTCTTGGACTCTTTTAACATGGAATAAGAGGCAAACACTGAACAATAGTTATAAACTTGACCATACCGCTAGAAACAGCTCATAATCTAGCAAGTACAAATATTTTTGCTAGGCAATTTTAAATACTTAGTGCACTAAACAATTGCCCCAAGGAGATAAACAGTTCTGTGCAAGTAAAAGGTACCATGTTCCAGCACGTTAGTTTCAGTGTGTTATTTGCTTAGCTAATAAAGTTCAGCATGAAAAGAAGCCAAAAATACTATTTGTCTGGAAATAACATGAACAAGTACTCTTAACAAGTGTGTTAACTGCGAGTCTTCAATTACCAGTTGTAAAATAAGGATAGGTCTTAGCATAGTACGTGTGTTAAGTATCCTTGGCAGCTACACTAGACTGGCAAAGGAAACACACTGTTGCTGTCTATGTTGAGGAGGAATAATCAGAAGGATCACCTTAGTTAAAATGTAAATGATACTTTTTTTCTTTTCCTTTGCTCTTACCTTTCAGCAGGGCTGAGTTCCCGGATTGCTGTTAACAACTTTGCCAGCACCTGCAGTTTTCCTGAATCAACCTCAGCAAAAGTGGTACAGGTATAATCTTGTGGGAAAACATTTACCAAGCCTTCATAAAGATTTGATTCCTCATGTTCATCAAAAGTTCCACTGCATTCTTTTTCCTATAAAAAAGACTGGCATTGTATATATTTTCTAAAGAAAATTGAAAAATTATTTTGTAAATAGTTTCATTACAACAACCAATAACTCATATAGATACTGATGCTGATAACCTCGTTTAATAACTTCATACCATTTACTCTAATACACAGTTTTACACAGTTTAAGAATAATAAAGTCAAACTTGGTGTGTATCTGCTATCTTCAGGTCTTATTTATATCTGGATAAAGTAAAGAGAAGGAAATACTATTAGTTTGTGCCTGCTTGTTCATCTCTTTTTTTTTTTAAACATGAGAGAAGCTGACACTATGTTTACACCTGCTTCATTCTATGGTAATCTATTATGGAGCATCACAGACATTTATTTTTAAGGAAGGTATACTCAGCAGCACAAGATCCAAATAGGCCAATTAGATAAATGTAGTAAATGAGCCTGTATTGAAGTCTGTGCTGCTGCAACTACATTGCTACTGATACATATACAAGATAATTTTAAATTGGTTGGAGTATCGACCCGCTACGCTGCAGTCTGCTTGATAGGCATATTCAGACACAGCCTGAGACAAAAGCTTTAAGTAACTTCTGCACTTAAGAATTTGACTCTAATGGTAGTTATTAATTAATATATCAATCTAGTTACTTATGTCATTGCTGCTGTTATTCCAGAAATGCTGAAGTAATGTATAGTGGGACTGGATATCACAGGAACTAGAGAAAGAAGAAACCTACTAAATCTGTGGTGTAGAGCCTGTAACCTCTAGCTTCAATCAGCAAGTGTTCTGGCAGATGTTAATTTAATGGCATGATGGGATCTTATTCTGGATTCCAACAACTATACATCCTGCCATGCCACATGTGTATGGCAAGGCACAATTTTGGGGATCAGGGACAGATCCCAGTTGTGCAACCCTGGCACAGGGAACCTGGTATCAGGAACCAATCCACAATTGCATGCAAAGTGCCCTTTCAAGAGGCCATTGCAGGAGCCCAGGAACCTAGGTTCCACACGCATGGCAAGTTTATACCCACATACCAGGCAGGGCTGCCTGTGGGTTTAGAGGGGCCAGATGGGGAGGAGTTGATGAGCTTCCTCTGCCCAGGAAACATAAACCTGACTGTGGTGCAGCCCTGCATGGACTGTATGATACACAGGTTTACAAGGGCTGAGTGGACCCAAAGCTGCCTCTGGTGATGGGGTAGGGACCAGTATTAGGTGCTAGACCCAAGGGCCTGATGCTGCTTCCTGCAATCAGGCAGGGGATAGCATAGAGTCCTGGTGCTCGCTCCTGGGATTGCACAAGGAATAGCACTGGGGCCCAGGTCTGGGACCCAGCATTGCTGCCTGGGCTCAGGCATGGGGCAGCATTGCTTTCTAGGCTCAGGTGAGGGACAATGCTGGTTCACACCAGAATCATACCATAAATGTAATCTGCCTAGGCCCTAAGAAAGGGTGAAGAGCTAGCAACAGGCAGCTTGTGTGTACTATACAGGCCTTGTAGTCATAGAGGCTTCAGTGGCTGCCACTTGGAATAGAGTTTATGGAGTGTTTGTTCCATAGTTGACTCAGTATATCTGACAAAATGCCTTAATTGTCAAGGTCTGTAGTACAAACATTTATAATACATTCAAAATGTATTTCTTTGAAAAAATGGATTTACAGTCTGTTCATTGTAACATATTTTTACAAATTTTCAGGGGATGATATCAAGGCTGGGTAGGCAAGTGAATTAAAAGAAGCATTAGAATCAAGAAAATAATATACAGTAGTGGGGACTGGGTCAGAGTCTTTACTCATATATATCCAGATTTTCCGATATTTTTAATGGTTAATTTTTTTTTAAAGCTATACTTGTTTTCTAAAGCAGATCTTATTTGAGGCAGGCGTATTAAATGAGCTCCCTCACAAAGATCTTTAAAAGTACTCCCGCCCTTGTGTATAGGAATGTCTAATACTCTGTTGAAGCAGAATAGAATAGATACCTTTATGGCTTTAAACAAAAGGTAAGGGTGGTTGCAGAGCTTTTTCAGAGCTCCGATGCATATCAAATGAGGACTATTTTCTAAGACCCCTTGTAGGCAAGATTTAACAATGCGAGAACTAAGCAGTTTTTGATAGAGTTCAAGCTGCAAGGCTGTTGGCCGGCAGAA